CAAACACCTGAGAGATTTCTCCTCATAACACATTTGATAACATTGAAACTTTATCCCAGCTGTTATCAAACAGCACTACGAGTAGCGCGTCGTTCGCTATTCGGCTGGTAGGGGATCTTCTTCTTTCGGCAGCACGCTAATTTTTTTAATGCAGCGGGTATTTGTAGTGACTAGTGCGTAATATTTTAACGACATGCGGTTTTTGTTTAATTTTTCAGCGAGCTCACTAACAATAAGCTAACTTTGAATAAGTCACGTGACAACATAACACCTTTGCCAAGTATAGGTGTGATGATCACTGATGTCCACCTATATTGAGCCAACTGATACAATAACTTGTTATCAAACACCTGTGTGACTTATTTTCACTCGGGTAGAAGCGAACAACTGATGTATAAATTTTGAAGGTTGACTGAATGGAATAAATCGTTTGACCTAATAATATTTGATCACCTACGCAAATCGTCAATTCTGGTGATGGGAGAAACGTTCCAATAACACAGTAATAATGGGTGGTTTTCGATTGCACAACGAATCAGATTATAACACACATTTCTGATTGACACTAACAAATCAGTTTCGAGATCGCAGTAATAACGATAACAATAATAACCATGACAATAATAATAATAATAATATTCATAATAACAATAATAATAATAACGTTGGGAAGGAATTTGTCAGTTTGCGCATAATTAGATCATCGTTCCACTGCGATGTTGAAACCAAATCGTTCACATTGGATACCATATCCTGCATTATATCACCTGAAATATAAATGATTACTTGCTTCTAACAGAATGACTTTCATCAAATCGCACGTACTTTGATTTAAGGATGTCGATGAAAGCGCCTCTCCAACCGACGATATCTTCACCACAAAAACACCATCAGCACGTCGTGCTATTATCGTTATCACGTATTCACTTCCTTTGATCAGATCCTCGAATGAAATTCATCATTGAACACATATTTGTAACTTATAAATTCAAAGGTAAATCTGTTTTGATTTCACTGATCAATGTGAATTCACTTTCGAATGCATTTTGAAACATTCCGATTCGAACCAAACATATAAATTCAACAGAACCGCTGCAGAAACGCTCTCGAAATAGATTTCAACACTTGAACTGTGAAAATTAAACCATAAATAGTAAACACAATGAAATTAGAGTCCAATATTACCTCAATGCGCGTTGGTGCTGTTGGGTCTATACAACAACGGAACATTGCTATCCATATTTTGAACACTCCATCTTTCTGAGAAATGAACGAACATTAATATTTTGAATTGAATCGAGTAAAACAATGGATAAATTTTCCTTTCAATCTATGCAGCAATGAGTTGTTTTGAGATATTACAAAGCCGACAACCGCACACAATTTCACGCACCCCATTCAGCGTTGAAATGTCGATCACATCAACTCCTTTGGCCCATTTGAATATGCCAAAATCCACAAGATACGCTGATGCTCTAAAATTCGTCAACTTTAATAAAAACCAATGGAAAATGAATGAAAGAATGGAAATGACAACAAATGAGCAAATATTTAAGTAAATTAAAGAGTGAAAGCAAAATATTAAAGAGTGGGCACAACGAGGCAAATACTTCAAAATTCAAAAAATGAAATATCGTCAGCATTTCTTTCAAATTACGGTGGTGGTTTGAGCAAGAAAATTTCTACAGATTTATTGAACTGGGAGTCGATGTTTGATATGTCGAAAATGAACGGGATGGTTGAATGTGATAATGAAGGTCCCTACCTTCTCAATCTCGTCGAATATTTGCAAATAATCGCACGACAAAGGCATCTCGAACCGTCATCAACACTCACACGAACTAAACACCCTTTCCCAACCATCTCTTCCAACCGTACATTTTCCATACTTGGTAGCTCACTATAAATGTTGCGTCTTCCATATAGCACCTAAATTCATCAATATAAAGCATTCTTCCTTGACACGATTCATGGACACCGATTCAATCGCTTCATATTTCGCCACTTGGAATAATCAGC